CTCCACCACCACCTCCCAGACCCTGTTAACCACCTGGAGACAGAAATGCCACCAAGATGGGCGAGCAACAGCAAGGTCCACCACAGCAAATAGACCCAAGGGGCTCTTTGGCCTGGTGAGGGCACAGCAGAGGACAAAGGTGATGGATTTGGCAGTGCAGAGGAGATGCAATCTCTGGTTCGGAGGAGGGGAGTAGGTTACAGGGGCTCCGTGTGTCCAAAAACACATGGACTATGGGCATGACTACTGACTCCTAGGTGATGGTTTCAAAACAAATAAAAGGAAACAGCCCAGAAGGAGTGGGTAGGCAAACTGTGGAAATCACTGGCACAGAATAATGCTGATCTGAAAAAAAATTATAAGGTCTACAAAGTAATTCTATAAATTATTGGACGGAAATTTTGTGCTGGCCTCTTAAATACAATGACCCTAATTTTGGCTCAGGAAGCTCTGACCTGTAAATAGCTGGAGATTGGTGAGCACTCTGGAAAAACATGGTTATAGGTTTGCTGTGTTCCTGCCTTCTCCTGCAGCACTAGGTGGACCTTTGGAGAGAATTAGCACAGACCTTTTTTTTGTGTGTGTGTGAATGTTCAGTAACATCAACATTTTCCATCCATAGTCTGCTAGTGCTGGGAGCCAACTTCTCCTCTGGGAACTGTTTGGTCTCCCTGGATCTGCACATCTGCCATCTCCAGGAAAAGGGGGAATCGGACCAAGAGTGGAAAGGAAAAATCTGCATTTATAAACACATCATGTGCCAGCACCTGAATGAAGAGAAGACTGGAAGAAATGCTGGTGGTGTGAACACAGCCAGCTGCAGAGGACCAGAGGCAGGTGAGCACATCGAGGTACAGTCGTATCTGTAGCTTATCTACAGATCCAAAGCATAGGGCTGGGTCTGGGTAAAGCTTTCCTCAGCTCCTTGAGGTTATGGAAGACGGCAGGTCTTCACAGGTCCTTTCTAGGGTGAAATCCTACTGGTGATGTCTTTCAGTTGTGCAAAAGGTCCAGGCAATGGGGTGATGCCTCTGGTGGACTTGAATGCTGGGGGCTCTCCCCTTGACTCTGCTGCCATTGCTCAGCAAGGCTCCAAGTCAGGGCAAGTTTTGAATGAACAGCGCAGAACCAAAACCCCAGCACATGCGTTCATCTGCTGGGTGGAATCAATGACTCACGGCCGAGCCACCAGAGCCAGAGTTCACCACGGCCTCGTCCTTCCTTGGGCTCTGCTAAGATGCAAGCTCCGATTGATGGATATTTCCCTTCACTTCTTGTGTCTGGGTGGATGCTCTGCTGTCAAATAAGGAGCGAGTTTGAGGTGTTTCTTTAGGAAGCCAGGTGAAAATAATGTGTTAAAAATGCTTCCAAAACTGAGTGCAGTATCCATGAAGGGAAGGAAATGCCCCGTGTCTGGGTAATTTCTGATGCTCCTTGCCACTGTCATGCCTGCCTAGAGAATGATACGGACCTTTTAGCTTCTTCTTTCATTAAATTATGCAGGAATG